CATCTTTCTAGAAAATGTATAGGTATTCTATGTACATAAACACAAAAATGTTTAGTTCTGTTTATTGGTAAGAACTTACAAGGTAAGGGGTGGTAGTTTTGTAGAATGGAACATTTTAATTGTCTTGTTCTAGGCCATCACCAAGCAGAAGTGTAGTATGAGACAATTGACGGTGTGACTCTGCTCCTGTTTACCCATTTATGCAGCATAAACTGATGGGAACAAGTGCTTTTGGCACCAGTGAGACCTGTCTTCTGTCCAGACTCAGTCTTGGTGCTTCTCAAAGGTATCTGCTTAACAAATGCCAGTTCAGGGCAGTTTATTGACATCTACCTTTGTGCATTAGGAACTGGGCTGAGGCTGCCAGAACCCATTTTGTTTGTTAACATTTACTGCTACTGGAATTAAATTTCTGCATAAAGAGAGATGCTGGGTTTGAAGCCAGTTCCCAGAGGTGAAAGGCCAGTGTTTTAAATCTGCTGAGCCACATAGCCTCATATAGGTGAGGAAAGCTCTTATTTTTCAGTCATAAGAAATAAGGCCTATCTTTACACCCAGCCTGCTATTGCTTAGTTAGTAATGTATAAAATATAACAGCATTAATATTATGTCAGGTAAGCTTATATTCAGTAATGATGAGGGTTTTTGATTGTTGAAGGAAAATATTTATACACTGTCAAATTTGATACTGTACAGTTACTTTTTAGACAACTTAGTCTTTGTAATACAAAATGTCAATGGCCACTACTCATATTTATCATCTTTATAAAAATGTGCAGCAGTCTACAGCATTTTATTTCTGTTTCTTTAATTTTGGATGGCTCCTTATATCATGAGGAAATTTGAATATGATTTTCAATATAACTAGGTAATATGGTTCAAGAAAGGAGGCAAAAATATGGATATACAATTAAGGCACTAATACTTCTGTTTCAATAGATTGTATTGTGCAATTCATAGTCACATATAAACTTGTACACTGCAGCAGTGGTTCTCAGTCTTTTGATCCCAGGCTTATCTACTCCATCCCTACCCTCACATCTGCCACCCTACAACCTGCCTACTCCAGACTGCATAACCCTGCAGCTTCACAGTCTCAGGGTATTATACCCTTTTGCCAAGCATTCTGCAGAGGTACCTGAGCAAGCTCTACTTACACGAGCTCTGGGAAATAATAACAGGCATATTTGGACTCTGCCTTAGCTAAGTGAGTTTGCTTGTCACCAGAGCTGCTGGGCTTGCCTGAAGTGCTGTATGAAGATGGATTTGCTGCTTCCCATTTTGGACATAGTACATGCAGAACATCTTGATTTCTGATGATGATGATGTCTGGCACTGAGAACATTGGGAGGGGCAGCTGACTCAGCCCTTATCTGCTCTTATGGCCTACTCCTAGCACCTCTACAGACCACTAGGTGACAAACACTACAGTATCCCAAAAGTAGAAGTAGCAGGATACATAGTATTTTTTTTTTTGCTGATGCTAATTTCTCTTGCTGTTTCTCATTTAAAAAAAATCCGTTTTAAGTATGTGATAAAGGCTCAGAATAATTGGTGGGCACATTGAGAATTGGTTTCTTTTTGTTTTTGAATGTACTACTTTTTCCCATTATGATTTTTATCCCTGCACACTAATAGCTGTAACTTCTTGAATGCTGTACCTTAATGGAAAACATATTTGACCTTAACCTCTAGTGATTCAGTCTACTAGAGCCTTAGTACTCTCTTTTTGAGAGAGAGATCGCACACAAAAAACACCACACTTACACCTTTTTAAAGGGAATTTAATATCAGTTTTAATATATGTAAGTACTGAACAGGGCTAGCTTCCTTGGAAGGTTAGTATGTTACTTTCAGTTTTATTTTCTGTCTTAATCTACAGTTTTTGAAGAGCCTGAAGATCCCAGCAGCAGGTCATTCTTTTCAGAAATCATTTCATCAATATCTGATGTAAAATTCAGCCACAGTGGTCGATATATGATGACACGAGACTACCTTTCGGTTAAAGTATGGGATCTCAATATGGAGAACAGACCTGTAGAGACATATCAAGTATGATCTTCAGATATATATATGTGTGTGTGTGTGTGTGTGTATATATAAACGCATCTCTTAATTTTCGTTAATTCTGTCTAACACCATCTTCGTGTTTCCAGGTTCATGAATATCTTCGAAGCAAGCTTTGTTCCTTGTATGAAAATGACTGCATTTTTGACAAGTTTGAATGCTGCTGGAATGGTTCTGATAGGTAAGGTTGAGTTTGAATTAATCTTAACTTCCATAGTCCTAGCTTAGCAGGTGACTAATATTTAGCAGTGAATGGACTTTGTGGGATGCCTTAATTTTGCGTGTGCTCAAACCTCACTTAACTAAGTGGTAATTACATATGCCCCTTAATGGACTCTATTGGGATTGCAGTTGCATACAAACAAGGATTTTTTTTTCTTTTATTCAAACTATTTGAGAACATGTTTTCCAGATTTGCTTTTAAATACGCGCACGGTATTTTGAGAGATTTTATTTCTGAGATTTTATATCTCAGATTTTATTTCTGAGCTCTGGTAGTTTCCATCCCCAATTGTGTTAAAGTTGACCAATATAAAATAAAAAAGAGGGAGCTGACTATTGCAGTGTTAATCTTCTGGCTTTTCTTATAATTTATATAAATGTATTGTTAAGTAAATGTGGTAAAAACAACGTGACTTGATGGCAGGATCTCTTTTGAGGGGTTTTTTGGGTATCCTAGAAATGACCCACCTCAGGTCAGGCAGATGGCCATCCCTGGTGGCATGGAGAGAACACCCATATCTTAATGCCATCAAAGCCCCACATCTGCAGGCCAGATTCAAAGTTCCCACAGATCAGATCCAGCCATAGATTGCTGACCCTGACTGAGGCTGTTGCCTGTGAAAGCTTATGCCTCTCTCTAAGGTGCCACCCTGCCCTCCTTTCTACCCAAGGATAGGTAAAAGTATGAGACGTACCAGAAGAGGATAGGAAGGAGAATGAAGGGGCAGCTGTGACAGAGTTTATTGTATTGCTCGTATAAAAACCTCACTTGGAATGCTAATAATATAACTGGTTTTCAACAAATCCCAAAAAGTGTGACGTCCGTCTGATGTCGGTCTCTTTTGTTGTTTTGCTAATACACAAATTGAGCAATATTGGGCAGTTTTATAGATTGTAAAATTATCTGAAGTTTGTAATGCTTAACAAAATAATGTAAAACAATTTGTGGCTCAATTTACCCCCCATAAAAGTATTTTTCCATTTTCTGTACCATTCCCCATACAATCTAATAAAGAGGGTTTTGAAGCTGAAAAGAGTGGATTTGATTTAAATGAAATCAATTTAAATCATGATTTAAGTTACTGATCAAGAAGCCTCAGTTTAATCATTGTTTTGTACAAACAGTGCATTCTTGTTGTTTGATATCCTTTATCCATTTAACTTCTTGAAACTGCACTTTAGAGAGGTAAGGGCTGACTGTGTGTACACAAACTTGCAGAGAGACAATAGGGCTGAGGGGTGGGTAATCATGTGTGTTATTTCTCATCTTCATATACTGCTGTTAGCAAGGATGTTATCTGGAGACAACAAACTTTTCCTATGCCTGAAGAAGGGTATTTGTGCCCGAAAGCTTGAAAAGAACAATTTTTCCAACTATTTAGTTGGTCTAATAAAAGATACCACATCTTCCCAAAGAACCATGTCTGCCTATAATCTCTGGAGACACAAATCCACAGTTTGAGAACTGAAACTAAGCATCAGAGAGATGCTTAATGGGTTCTGAGCACTAAGTCCCATTGGGTGGATTGGTTTTCCTTATTTTTTATTAATCTATAGAGGAACCGTCTAGGAACCCCATAAGATTGGGCCCCTAATATAGTCCATGGCCTGTTGTGACTTCTTTATAAAACTTCTAAAAATGTTCCATGAATATATTGTCTCAAGTAGATATTATAACTTCAAATTATATACTAATCCATGATGATATCTTTGAGCTTTAACATATCTTAAATTAAAACTATCTTTTTATGTTTTTTTAAATCATGTTAACAAAAAAAAAATATGATTAAATTAAAAAGACGATATTTTTAGTTGCTGATTTTTATCACCCCTGATGCTGTATTTAGTACAGCTCCCACATTTTAGAATGACTGTGGTGCAAATATTTTGTACCTGCAATAACTTACAGAAACTCTTCAGGAGAAATGGAGGTTTTGGCAACAATTGGGGCTTTTGGAACCTGAGAACTGGCAGTGGTCACATCTTCACCTGACTGTCACCTCTAGGCTAGTCTGGAAGGGTAGGCCAGAAAGGCATTCAGGGAGAGGGATGTGTGTTGAAAAGGGAAGGTGTGAGGTGCAAGGATACATAACATAGTGAGAGTGGGGAAGGGAAGATGGGGAGGAGATGGTAAGGGAGTGCGAAGTGAATGAGGAGCATGTCATGTCTGGCTGCATAATAATAAAACCTTTCCCCTTTTCTTGTTGTTTTAAACAGCGCTATCATGACTGGATCCTACAACAATTTCTTCCGGATGTTTGACCGAAACACACGGCGGGATATTACTTTAGAAGCATCAAGGGAGAGTAGCAAACCTCGTGCCATCCTAAAGCCACGCAAAGTGTGTACAGGTGGTAAGAGAAAGAAAGACGAGATAAGCGTTGACAGTCTGGACTTCAACAAGAAGATCCTTCATACAGCATGGCACCCCACAGAAAACATCATTGCTGTAGCTGCCACCAATAACTTGTATATATTCCAGGACAAAATTAACTAAAAAGATGGCTTAATTGAGGACAAAGTCTCGTCGTCTTGCATAGTTAAGCTCAGTTGTTTATCTGTAAAAGAGAAGGCCTTGTTGTCCTACCAGTAAAGAACATTGATGCACTTACTTCCCTTTATAGATAAAGGAGAAAAGCTGGCCTGGTTTTGAGTTTGTGGTGTAGTTCTGCCTTCATTGGAGGGGGGTGGGGAGTGGAATGCAAATTGCAGTTTTCTGAAAGAAAAAAGCCCTCTTGAAGCAGAATTGATGGACAGTGCTCAATAAAGGCCAATACTCAAAACAAATGTATTTATTTAAGTCTGAGCCTTCCTTTCCAGTTTATAGACCAAAAATTTAACAACCAAGAGAAAAAATTGTCATAAATGTAATTTCTATCTCTCTCGCTCTTTCTCTGCTGTAATATTTGGGCCTTTGAAAACATATATTGTGCTTTATGCCTGTAAACATTCCTCCTCTGGCCTTTATCTAGGCTTAGGTGTTTTTACCTTTGAGCACTTAGGTAGGTCTTGAGTTGGGTTCATAGACAGGTTCCATGAATATTTACTCACCAACTGTATCTATAACCACACCTTCTGGTGTAAACCACTTAATAAAAATAACAAACTATAAAAAGTGTTTTTAAATCTGAAAGTATGTATTCAGTCTTTTATTTTTTTATTGCATGTATTGAGATTGTGCAAAATAATTCTAATGGGGAATTTGACAATGTTTGTCCCAAAACTTGGATTTTTTGACAGCCTGGTATAAACTGTTTTGTGTAGTATGAAATATTTCAAATTCTAAATTTAGTTTCCACAGAATTGTCATTAAGTTGTGTTGGATTTCTGTAAAATTACATCTGTATACACAAACTAGGGGATTTGAGAAGGTTGGTATAAAAACATCTACAGCCTAAAAGAGAGAAACTACTTTGCACAGAAGGGAATATACAATAAAACATTGAATCAAATTTCTGCTTTGACAATATAAAATCTATTTTTAACTAATGCCTCTCAGATGTTTGACACAGAGACATACCTTATGTGCATTACTTTTTTTATATTTTTAGTGACTTATTTTGGAAAAATACACTTTTACTTTAAATAGTAAATTTGGCATAATTAAATATATTTAGAATTTCACATTGCAATTCAAACCAGCAAATAAAACTGACTTGATTATACCAAGCAGCAGCACAACTAAAGTTTTAACATACTCTGTCACTTGACGCCAGGTGATCAGGATATAGTGAAACTATGAACTGATGCAAAATGCATTTGTCATAGCATCCTACTCCTGTGGACATCAGGGTTAAAAATCATTTTTAAGCTTTGGGTATTTTTTTCTAAAAGGGCATAAACTCATCCAGCGTTCTCTTTACCCCAACTAAATGCGGGTGTAAAATGTGTCAGAAGAAATGATGGCATATTTTAATAGAATCGAGTACCAAGATATGCAAGGAATGCAAAATAAGGTCTTTTTAGTTAATTAGACTCTTGAATTTCCCTCATGAAAGTGTGGTTTACACTCCATTTTATTAAAATGAAGGTGCATTATGATTATTAAATCAGATATGGATATGCAAGAGAAATGTCACTGTTCCTACCCTCTCAATTAATGTCCATAGAGTGCCACTCTTGTTCATAATAAGCTAGTAAATACAACTAACTTTGGGGTTCTACAAATAAAGTTTAAATAAAAAAAAATCTTATACTGTATATTGGTTGTGACACTATTTGCAGATCTTGAAATGTGGAACTTCTAGGTCATTTAAGCATTATATTTGACCTTTGTTCCTAAAATACATAATAGAGCTAATACAATGGGATTGTATATACTTGTTCAATTATTTTGACCAAAAAGTTTAATAAATTTTAAATGTTTACTTGAACTTGCTCTGTGTAGTCTGACACCTTCCTTATTTTAATCTTTTGAAATTTGAAATGCCACCCAAATTCCCCAGTGATTCCACATAGATGCCAAATCGGCTTTTTGCTGCATTCATTTGGTTATTTCCCTTTTTCAAATAAGCATAGTAAATTAATATAGATATCTAACAGCCCAAATGCTGCATTTTTGCAGCATTGGGTAGACCAATTTATTTTCCAATGAGCAAAGTAAAATATGTTTTAATGTGTAGAAATTCAGACCTGTAATTCAGAAATCCATCTCACCATGTCTTGTATATTTTAGAGCTATTATAATTAGGACCGGTAAAGTCTAATCTCTTTGCTTAGGTTACAAAAATCTGCTGGCAGAGCTATACATACATTAGGAATCTGAAAAGATTTCATATTGTAGCCAACCTTGCACTGCTAGCAAAACCCATGGTGTGATTCCAGGTTTCCTACTAAGCTTCTGCTAGGGGGAGCCTATATAATGTTGGTGCCATCATAATTTCCTAAAGTGGTAGCAGTCATCACTGTGTTAGATGGCCTAAGTAACCATAGGTGAAAAAAGGATGGAAATTTAAAGGATTTTACTGAGACTGGATAGCTAGTTATTTAATAAAAACTAGGTACATTTACTTGCATGGTTTTGCAGCTAAATAGCTAATAATGGTTCCTGAAAATCTTTCACCGTGTACCTCACTTAACCAGTCTTTCTGGTAATTTTTTTCTGGTGGATGGAATTCTCACTCAAATTTTCAGATGTTCACACAGAAATGAGATCATTGAGAGATCAGTTAAATCAATTAACAATTTTGGTATCTCAAACCAGTCTGTAACACCTCATTCCTCAAGTGCATCTTTATTTTGCCTTTGAGTAAGATTTTGTCTTTATTCTTTTTTCCTTGCTAGATTCCTACATTGTGCCATCATGAATTATGATACCTTGAACCTTCGCATTGTCAAAAAAAAAGATTGGTATGATTTCAAGTGATAGTATAATTAACAAGAATATTATGTATTAGCATTATATATGTGTAGCTTGCAGTTACTGCAGGAGAAATTCCAAAAGCTCAGATTCTGGCAGATAAAATATTGTTTGTTATAAGAAATAGTGATTTGGTTTTATGCAAATGTTTCCTACAAGCATGATAACTGTGGACAGCTGTTTCATGTCTTTAAGGCGGTGTTTCTCAGCTGGGGCACTGTGGTGTCGCAAGATACTTTGAGGGATGAGGCAGGAAATGTGAAGATAAGCAGATGAGAACAGGCTCAGGCTCTCCCTGCCTGGCTGTTCCCTTATGCCCACTGTAAGGAGTTGAGCACTAATATATTCGTTTTTAAAATGGGATGCCACTCAATTCACAAAATTATGGAGGGCTGCCTTGAGGTTAAAAAGGTTGAGACCCATTGCTTTAAGGAAATAAGTTTAACTTTTGAATCAACACAGGAATTTCCAGGTAAGAGTCACAGACTTTTTCTTTTTAATTTATACTTCTGCACTGTACTTTCCTGAAGTACCCATATTATCTAATACTGTAATTCAACATGCATGTCAAAGTGCATAAATACTTCAAGGATTATGTGCTGTACTGAGTTGTATATGAATTCTTATTGATAATGAAGAGTCTCAAGTTGGTCCCTTAAAATTGAGACAAAATCTCTTTTAATCTTCTAAAAAAGTAGGGTATACTAGGATCTAGTACGATCGGGGAAGCAGAGATGAAAAAGGGATTAAATGGGTTCAGGCTCACCTATTGGAAACAATCTAGCTGCCTATTGGTAGATAAGTTAACAGTAGAAGATAAAGCTATGGAGCTAGGCACTAACAGATTTATATATCTATTTCTGTATTTCCTGTGAAACAGAGTACATATTTAATGGAAAGCACTTTACTTGCTTGTAGATTAGAATGTAATTTCTCAAAATAAATTGAAATATTGTTTGTTCATTGTGCTATTTTAGAATTCTAAAATTTGGTTATAGGCAGATAAGTGAATTGTAAGACTGGCAGTACTGGTGCTTTCCATTGATAGGGCGCTTGAAGGTAGGAATGGAGATTTGGAGGGAGTGGGGAGACCTGCTTTAAACTGTTGGCAAAATGAAATGACATGCTGATGGATCTAACAATGTTTAGTGGCTAGGTTAGTAACATGAAAAGTTTTACAGAGGGCCTAATGTGCTAAATTGTTTTTTTCAGGTATAGTTTATGGAATTCTCAAACCTAATTGTTTGGTTTAAGTACTATATAAAATACAAGTTATACATAATACTATTTTATGTATTTTTCCCGTGAGTTCCAGTTAAGATATCTGTAATTCATACTGATGTGCTGCAGATGTAATGTACTAGAACATTAACATGCGTCTCTTTAGCATTCCTGTGAAAATGAGAAAAGTGTGAAAACATATTTTCCCTTCACAGACTCTGCTCATTCATCCCTAATGAATCATACCTCTTGCTTGTAAATTTTGGAAGCAGTCCACTATGGTTGTTGGGAACTGTAGTATGAAGCCTCTGCCTTTGCTCAGACCACCCAGCTTTTTTCCCTTCTAGCAGTGAAATGATTGGTGAGTCATTTTTTTTTAATCATTGTTTTGTTTTGTCATTTTGTGTGTATTAGTATTGGTTAACTTTCTAGGTCCCTTCCCCTTCTCTTAAAGCTAAGAGTATTGAGGCTGCAACCTTCTGGCTTCTCAGTTGTATGCTCCTCTTGAATAATTTGTCTTTGTCCTGTCAATATAGCAGTAGAGAGGAGTCTTGTAAATGTGAACTCAAGTCCAAAAGACATTGCAGGTGATTTTTCAGGAGCCCGAGAAACAATTACTTCACAAGCCACAGACTTTGTTTTTCATGGACATGGAGAACTGCTTTGGATATTGTGTAGGCCGCTGCCTTCTCCCTGAAACCTGTGGCTCCTACAAGGAGCAAAACCAGTAGCAGAGAGCTCTTCACAGCCTATTCAAGAACCAAGGTTGGTAAACTCCAGAGGGTCCAGTTACTCAAAATGCAGAAGCAAACATGGTAATGCACCAATTGGTATTGCAAAGGGCAAGTAAAAAATGTAAAAAAAACACATTTTCTTTATTACCTTCCCACGTTAAAAGTATGTTAGGACTTTTCTTCCAGAGGCTATTACCGTGCTATGTGAAACTGTCTTGGGCTGCAGTATAATAGAAATTGTGCCTGTCAAATTTTCAGCCCAGAAATCTCTGCTGATGAAGAAAAGACATCTTTTCCACTCTAAAAGCTAGCTTTTGCCCAGAAAATTAAGGAGTGGTCTTACGTGAACTGAGACAAGTAAGGACTCCATTCCCCCTGCATCTAGGGATTACAGGGAGGTGAGCAAAAGATCCCCCTTCCATATTCAGAATGATTCCTATTTTGCTGCATAAAGCCTTGGCGTATGGTTTCTCCTGTAGTAGTTATATAGCTACCAGCCAACCAAGGAGAACAAGCAAGCAGTCTTTCAAGCTTCTGAGGCCATCTAGCAGCTGGCCTTAGACTCAAGGATTTGTACTGCCTTCGGTTATAAGACAGTGGTTCTCCACCAGAATGCCACAGCACTTATATTACTAGCACAAGAAAAACCCAGAGATTTCAGATAAGAATACAGTGTCAAAAACTAATGACCTGTGGTCTTTCTGAATTATTTGCAACAGTAATTTAGTTTTCCTTAGTCCAAGACTTAAAGAAGTCATTGCAGGATTTGCTCCTCCATTGAAAGACACTGGAAAGCCTTCACTCAGACTGAGGACATGCCACAGAATTTCAGAGTTAACTGTAGCCAAACAATTCCTTCTCCAGAGAAATGGATCAATTTGTAACTGACCAGCTGTGAGAAAATACCCTCTCCTACCAGTTGTTAAAGATCTAAAATATTTGCAGAGTTATCCAGGTGTCAAATACATTTGATTTGGCCTACCATATTTACAGAAATGATTTGCAAAGATTTACTCTCGAATCAACTGGTTCCTTACTGTGGTAATCCATAGCCTGTTATTTCCATGACTGTTGACAAGGGTTAAAGCCCAAGTTTGGTTTCTCAAAACGTGTCTTCAGAAATTCCTAAGAAGTTGAACCACTTCCAGGTATGACATGATGCAATGTTGGGTGATATTCCTGGATCCCATCTAAATGACCATTGTCAGTTTATTTGTACTTACCAGCCAAAAACTCACCCTATTTTCATGCTAGACAAATGATTCTCCACCAGGATTCTGCAACACCCCAGGGTACTGCAAGATCCCTTTAAGGGTGCTCTGGGACACTGCACAATATTCATGTTGATGTGCAACCACCTATACACGATTCACAAGATAAACCCAGAGACTTCAAATAGGAATTCACATGTCATGACCCAAAGGGTATGATTTTGTGTGCGCTTCGGCACTGCAGAATTATTTCCTGCCACGAGGAGCTTTCTTTGCATGGTGCAATTCTCAGTTGCATAGAGAAAACCCCAGTGCAAAGGAGTTCCCGCCATTTGCATGCAAATTTGTTTCCCACTATTGGCTGTTTCTAAATTATTCCCACGTGGCGGCTAGCGATTGGCTTGCTAGCTGTATAAGAGGCTTGAGCAGTTTCTGCCCAAGTTGGAGGAGGAGGACTCCACAACCATCTTGTGGAGGAGAAGGAGGACTTCACATCTCGTGAAGAACTCTAAGCGCGCTGTGGAGCTTAACGAACCCAGCGTGTGCCTTAAGAAGGATATAGGGGCCTGATCAACCTCTAGCCTCTCCCTGTCGCCGCCTGATCCCTCGACGTACCCTTCCCTGCGCGCTCGTGGAGAGTCACCTTTTGGACTCTCATTGTGGTATCCAGAGCTCTTCGGGTTATTTCATCCGGTTGATTCGACGGGCTCACGGTTCCAGAGCTGTCAGCCGGCCTTGGACCAGAGTTCGCGGTTAGAACTCTTGGCCGCTCTTCTTCTTTCCTATCCGTAACTGCAACGCAAGCAAGTTTTCCTGCCTGCACCGCGACCGTCTACGGTGCAAGTAAAATAATCTTTAATCAACCGCTACACGTCCGTGCCTAATTCTAGTCCGCCGTGCCGAATTCCCCAACCCACGTGCCAGGGCTGCTGGCCACAGCCCGCCGCGTGCCCCCGAAAGCCTCGGACCGCTCCTGGCCCGCACATCACATAGCATCAAAAACATCCAGACCTGTTGTGGTCTTTGAATTCTTTGCAACAGAATTTCTCTAAATACTTTTCCAAGAAATGAGTGATAACTAAGGGAAGTTTCCAAGGGACGATTTGATTCTAAAAAGTTTGAGAACCACTGCACTGTGTCCTCATATACACATAATGGAAGCTAGTAAAGGAAGGCAGAGAGTATACCTGGAAGACGAAGTTGCAGAATCTCAGCATCCACATCTGCTGAGGTCACTTCAACAGTCCTATCACTGGTATGTTTAATCACAAAACGTTTTTTTCTGGAAGATGAAGTAGCTGTCCACATGCATTGCTCGTAGTCACAGGGCTTACTATCCACCCTCCAACTGTCTAAAGGGCAGTTTCAGGGGTGTTGGTTGTAGTTGTGTTGGTCTAAGGACATAGGCAAACAAGGTTCTTTGGGTAAATGCAATATCTTTTATTAATCAACTCAAATAGTTGAAAAAACTCTTCTTAGCAAGCTTTCGGGCATAAACCCTTCATCAGGCAGGGGAAGCATGTGCAGATGGTCTGTGCTGTTCCTGGACAGAGTGGGAAAGCAGCCAGAGACCAGTATGAATGCAAGAAAGCCAGTCAGTTAAAATGTAAATTGAGGTGGTCAGTAGATGAGAGACAGGTGGAGGGAGGAAGGGGGAATGAATGTAGCTGTAGTCAAAGGATAAGACAGACAAGATATGAGGGGGGAAAAAAAGGGAACCATCAGCCAAGGCCATTCCCCATGTGTAAGGCCTGAGTAGCAAGGGTCATGCGTAGGAACTGATTGCAAATACAGGGTTTGAGGCATTGGTTGCCTTGTAGTGTTGCACCTGGAAGTCGTCAGAAAAGCAGCTGTGACATATCCTGAAAGGGAAGGGAGATGGCTCAGGACTGATTAGAAAGGGAAGCTTGGGAACTGAGCAAGAAAAATGCTACCTCCTAATACCTTTGGGGAAACAGCTCTGAACAGTCCTTGGAAATGAATGCAGTTGTACCAAAGGAATACCTGAGTTCTATAATCAGTTCTCTTCATAACTGCCAAAGCCTTGAATATCGGCTAACTGCTTGGGCTAAACTAGGCAACAATATAAACAAGAGTCAGCCCAATGATTCATTGACTACAGGCTGAGACAAGAACCAGTACCACTTACTTAGAAAAATTGCAATAAACTAAACTGCAGACAGTAGTAGTGCTCACAGGAAAGGTCTATTTGCCCTTAGAGGTTTGTTTATGAGTGAAGCTTAAGTGCTTTACTGAAGTGACCTAGAGATCAGAGCTCCTCTGTGTCTACCCCAGGAAAAGACAATTATTTGTTTTTCAAGGTTTATATTAAGGATGCAAGGAAGAGGAGAAGGGAGAAATGAAGTTCCCTTCCACGCCCCCAGTGGCCCAGATGGCACTTCCAATAGCCAGAGAGACTACATTGCATCAACAAAAAATGCCAGATCTCTTAAATCAGACACTTCCTGCATGACCAACGCATAACAGTATGGATGTGGTCTTGTGAGGAAAATTAATACCTCTGGAAACTTCTGCACAAGGTGAGTTCTTGTACAGCTACTAGAATACACTTCCCAACATTTTTTTCTGAACAAATATCTTTGGAAGGGTGTGGCTGGGTTTTATTATATATTTCTGGTTTAAATGTATTCATATTGTAATATTCCCTGACTGGTCTGTACACTGGGAAACTGTGTTTGGAAATGGAGCTGTGGGGATTAAATGAGCATTACAGTCTCTTAAGGAACTTATACAGGAACCCGATGCCGGCTTGGATACGTTCTACTTGGAACACATCGGAACAGACTCAATTAATCGTGTCTGCTGGAAGACTCCAATTAGAATGCTCCAGCAGCCTCAGCGTCGCATGTATTTAGCATCCTTGCATTTCAAAATAGCGGTGGAGCGCTTTAGCTAAAGTTTGTTGAATTAGTTTTAGCTGAGGTGCCCCCCCCGCCATTTTGAAGGGCAGGATGCTGAATACACAAGATGCTGGGACCGTTCTAATTAGAGCAGCTCTTGGGAGCCCAAGAGCCACTTTAATTAAAACACATCCTCCTCCCCCACCCTCCGGAGCACATGTAAAGATGCCCTTAAGTCTTCAGTTTAAGCCAGCACAAGCTCCGGTATCTTTTTCACGAAGGCGAATAACCAGGTCATTAGATGCCTGTAGCTCTGCTATCACTGAGGGCACAAGCTGCTTTCACACCACTGCTCCTGTACAATCACAAATGGACTCTTCAGTCTTGAAGGTCATTTGCCATCTACTGTCTCATCAGCTTCCTGGTGGCAGGTGCAATGCATGAGAGTCCCTGCAGATACAGACACTGATCTGTATCTCCTGATATCTTCTATAGTCATAAAAGTCTTTGGCACCCTGGCAAGCCCCAGTGGCTGCTCATTAATGCAATCTGATCTTTAGCATCTAGCTGCCTGGACCTTTTGAGAATTAGGTGGTGTCACTGCTCCAATCTTAAAGGAATGCAAGCCAAAATTTCCAGTATACTTGAGTAGGTTAACTTCTTCCCCTCTACCTGCCACAAAATTATACTTGGTTGAGTATCTGTTAACCTCATGCACATGTTTAGGCCCAGTTCCTAATCCTATATACTGAGGAACGCTTCGACACCATTCTTGGGACATAATTGTTTACCTGCATGTCCCCTTAACTCAGTCATGGCCTCTTTTCCTGCTTAGTTTCTGAATACCTGGTTCAGTGACATTAATTAGAAAAAAACTACACAACCACTCCTACATGCCTGCAGCTGTCCCCTGCTGCCTGTGCCACAAGCTCACTAATCCTGAAAACGCTTAAAAAAAAAAAAAAAAGGACCTGACAAATATCACTTTGAATAGAGCTACCTCCATCCCACAAGTGCACACTCCTAAGTAATGTTGCCAGCAACCCCACTAGAATCTGAGTGATTCTAGAGTATCTGTCAACTTTCCTTTATCCATCATATCTAGGCTCCCTCGTATTGTTTCCTTAATAAGAATTCCCTATCAGAGCTAATAGGTCCTGCAAGCCTGTAACCAACTCCCGGGGCAGCAAAGTGCTCTGAAATTGCAGGTGAAACCCATCCACAGGACACCAGAGATACTTCAGAGATGTGCCAGATGTCCTGGAGTTTGTCCTGTATGTCCAGCATGCAGAGCCAGCTACACTTTTTCCAGTTTCAGAGGCAGCCCAGTGGAATACAGCAGCATGCCTGAGAGAGTGGGCATTCCCCCCACACCCTGACCAAGCATAGGTCGGATGGCTCAGAGCCAACCTGACCCATAACGTGGTTCCAGAGTGCAGGTCTTGGCTCCCCATCCTGACCCCTCTCCCTGCCAGGAGTTTGGGATGCAGAGCCAGGCCCCTGATTCTTGGGTCTTCCAGGCAAGGGGGTGCTCCTGCTTGCATTAGGCTATCTGACAAGGTAGGTAAGCTCAGACGGTTCAAAAGTGGTTCTTAACCAGTAAATAAAGAAATTATGGAGGAGTGCTAAAAATCCTGAGAACCACTGGTCTTAATGAATCAGATGTAGTTTACACCTGAAACTGCTCTTAATCTAGGAGTAAAAAGGATGTGGAAGTGAAGCAAGAAAAAAAGCAAAAACTGGAGGTGCCATGTGTGTACTGATTACTTTTTGTTCCTTTTAGTTGCAAGCACCCCTGTGGCACAGAATCCAACACTGCCTTGGGTTGCCAGAGCCTGAACTCAGTTTGGCAACATAGTTGGGCTAAAGGGATGTTCAACCACGCTTATTCTACTGTAAGACTTACAGACTGACATTTTCCATTCACAAGCAGCAGGCTACCACATCAATATGTTCTTCTGTAGAGGGGTTTTCTTTGCTGCTGTTATGAAATAAGAGAATGAAGCAAAATACATTGCCTCACTTTTTATTAATGGTTGGTGCTTTCATACAATCAATACATAATAATAGTATTTAACTGAATGTTACCTCTGTGGTACCAGAAAATGCATTCAACAACACCTGTTAAACTTTTAAAAATATCACTCTAATTAGGTCAGAATCTATTTAAATACAAGGAACTTTAATGCACTACATTTTTTAACATGAAAGCAAATCAAGAACTGTTAATCTAACACCACTGGAAAAGTGGTTTTTAAGAATCCCAGCTACATAAAATTCAATATGTACATACATTCATGCAAGCTGACTGGGGCTACAAGTAAAAGTACCGTTGCAAGATATAGGTTTATTTGATGCTGTCTAAGCCAATAAGAGACTTATTGGCTTACTCTTCCTTTAAAAGTACCCAAAATAATTGGTGCTAAGTTATTACACAAAAGTGCATTGATTTTGGGGGAAGGGGTGGTATTCTTGGGCACATTTATCTGACAGCTATTCAAATCTCAAAGTATCCTCAGTAAGTCAGGGTAATAAAAAGAAGTGGTTTAATTCTACCCTAACTTTGGCTTTGGAATGAACTTTAGAGGTACTGGCACTCCCTTTCAAAAACCTCAACTGGGGTTTTAATAATTAAATCGTGTCAGGTTTTAGGTTCTCAGTTGCGTCTATTTTCAATGATTTACTATTTGATGGAAAAGGCTATTTATAGAAGCCAAATAAATCTGATGAATCTCCTGTTGAGAAGATTAATAAAATATAAAGAAATTCAGTACAACATTATGCCCTCATCCTCCTAGTACTGCACGTGCTTAACTTCATATAGTTGAAAAGTTCCAATAACCTCGAACAGACTACTCATAAGGAAGGTTAAGCATGTGTATAACTGCAGAATTTGGCCCAGGGGTTTAATATCACTGTTTTGCTTTGCAGCAGTAGACTATTCCCCTAGCTGTGATACCCCATCAAGGGTACAGCATGAACACTATTATAGTATAGGGTGCTCACTGTTAACCATAAATGGAGGCATTACAAAAAGCCATATTAATTTCAGTTCCATTCCAAGTACAAAAAAAGTCCTGACTTCCCCAAAAAGTGATAAAACCAAAAGTAAAAAACAAATTTATTTTTAAATGATGATACTGCAAACAGATGAAAGCAACGTGTACTGTGCTGGTTCAGACAGCGTGTGTTCATTCTACATTATGGGGGTTGGACTAGATGACCTCCTGAGGTCCCTTCCAACCCTTATTTTCTATGATTATAAATTTGACTTTTTTTTTCCAATACTAATTAATTAGATGTAAATATCTGCAAAGTATTTAAAAGAACAGCACATACCGTAAAAATAACCTTGACACTACCAAAGATTCAGCTTTCATAGTAGTTAGGGGTCAGAAGGGACCTGAACAGATCATCTAGTCTAACCCCCCGCCACTGGTTGGAGCACACGCTGGGATCACATGACCCCAGACAGGTAATCATCTAACCTCTCTTTTTGAATTTATCCAAGGTAGGAGCGAGGACCACTTACTTAGAAAGTTGGTTCCAGATCCTAGCTACCCTGACAGTGAAATAGTGCCTCTTAATCTCTAACCTTCAGAAATTATTTCTCAACACTGGGGAAAAAGAAGATGGTGAACCCATTCTGAATCCACAAGAAAAAACTTTATTTAAATACATAAATCCTCCAAAGGATATGGCAAAGATTATTTTTGTCTATTTCACTAAATGAAGATAAAACACCTGAATTAAAATGGGTTTTGTAAGTACAAATAAACACAGAAACAAACATACTGCCTGCTTTGGATCCATATAGGAACAAAACCACCTGAAAAGGGAAATAGATCGTTTCCTTGTTTTCACAAATTGAAAATAAAAAAAGCTGTATTCTGCAAGAAGACACAGCGACGGGAATTTTAATTAATTTGAAAATAAGAACAGCAACTGAAAAAGGAAATGATTCATTAGAAACGAAGGTCCAAATTTTAATACAGACTTGTTGTGGACCAGACTGTAAACTTTGCAATTTAAAATTCACTTTAAAATTTAAACTTTAAAATTTACAGAAGCTGAGCATCTAATGCGTCTTAACATTTCGTGTCTGTTTTGTGTAAAATAGACAAGTGACATGTTAAGTAAATGATGTGTCTCCTCAAATGAAGCACCAACATTCTCCAAAATATTGTATGTAAAGCCACAGCTTTTGGACTAACCCCTGATTGTCATGATTACTTTAATAATGGCGATATTTACTTTTTACAGAGTATAAAGAAACAGTACTTTGGATGGATGATTAGCTACATCACAATCTGTACTATATATAAAAGCTAAGGTTTCATCTGTTCTTAACACTGAGTTCTTCAATTTTCAACAATGCCTCCCTCTACATTACAGTAGATGTTAATCAGTCTGAAGCATGCTTTATGAATTGATCCAAAAAGCTATTTATAATAGCTTGGTTTCAGTGTCTCTTCTCCCACTCTACTACTAAACTAGGAACACAACATTTTACAAAACAAATGCACACAGGTCATGTAACCTTTGCAAATTCAGAAGTTTCTGTGATTCACTGTTTTGTATTCCCAGATGGGTATCCCTGCTGCTTTGAGACTGAATTTCACCATCCTTTTAAAATGTGCTGGTTGAAGTTGTGGTTGTCAAACGTCTTCCAATGTAAATCCTTGAGTAGAAAATATTTGTCAGTGAGTGTTGCATTTCATTTTTAAAAGAATGTATAGTATGTCAAGAATAATATTTTCCTCATCAGGTTATGTAATTTATGGTGAGAGCAATAGTGCCTGCTAGAATTAAGACTGCAAAACAGTTTGCATTTAAAACCCCAGATTTCAGTTGTTTATGTCTTTGCATAGCTTTGTCCTGTAATGAACCCTTGATTTTAAGATGTAGAGTAGTTCTTCAGTGCCGGCCAAGCCCATTCAATTTTAATAGTGGAAAAGTCAGAGAGAATTAAGACAAAGATCAGAAAGAGCTTCTGAAGCTACATAAAGTTGGTTATTAAAATACAGTTTTCCCTCCCCCGGTGTTGTTATCCAAATGTTCTCATTTGCTTCTAAGCATCTCACTTCTAACGTCTACCTGAGACACTTTTTAACGTTTGATAATTAATTTTTCAAAGTATGTTTTCACTGCTGTTCCAGATTATCTCTCTCATATTTGTTTGCCTTCCTCATTCTAAAGAAGTGACCACTCCGAGAGACTATCATTTTGACCTCCGTTAAACTTAGCATTTTATAAAGCTGCAAGATGTGATTTTTTTTTTAGTAGTCTGTCCTTCCTTTGGCTAGAAAGTTCTAAGGTCACAGCAATGCTGAAAAGCCAAGTAAGAAGTATGGGCAGTGTAAGGATTCCCCTCTCTTTTTGTAAAAGACATGTACTAGATTTTTCCTATCAAGTCTCATGCAGTTAACACAGCCATGTTTTATTTCCATTTATACAATCAACTCTGTGGACTAATTTTGTGTTAAATTTCAACATATATTTAAGATTAGGAATAAAGTAATAAATGAGATCTAGGATTTGGACAGGATGGCTAATCTGTACCTACAGAGTTCCAGAAGCCTTGTCCCTTAATTTCAAAGGGACACAGTGGTTCAATCTCGCCATAACTACTGTGTTGCATATCTGAACTGAGGGAGGGAGGGAAGGGAAATACTGTCAGGTAAAGAATTCTTAAAATAGTATCAGAAGCACTGGCACACATGTTACTGAGCCTAGCTGTGATGCCATGTTCAACAGTTTTACAGGGGGGCAGCTCATTTAATTTCCTTGCTAATTTAGTGACGTGAGATGAAATGAAGGCCTGTCACCTTGTAGAAGAAACAACTTTTACTTTGCTGAGTTATTTAAAATACTCTCTCCCCAAAATATATGGCACTCCCTTCTCTGCCCCTTAGAACTGGGCTGGGGGGGAGAAGATAAGAAGGACTGCTGGGAAATGCAGACGGGTCCTCCCTATTAGCCCTGCAGAGAAAGACTTGATAGTCCAGAATAGCATCTTTCCCTTTACAGAGCTGCTCCTGTATAGTTGCTGGAGTTCTTACTAGTGCATGGAGCCTCATTATGGATGGGCCTGGCTCTCACACAGACTCCTTGACCTCTGTATTGACCCTTAGGAATCTAACAGGCTTAGGAAACGGACCCTAAAGGCAAATCTTAGCCTAACTGGAATGAGTGAAGGCTGATCTCTTCTTTGTAGTTTCTCTTGTAGGTAGTGGGAAGGACGATTCAGCCCAATGCTGAAAAACAACCCCACTGTTGGATAAGATCACGTGATTCTTAAATAGGCAGTATAAAATCCACCATTATATCCCCTTTAAAATTGGTTTCTAAGTGAAAATTCACCCTTTAAAACAGAACAGAGTAGCATACATGTATGTACAACTCTTAACTCCAGTGTCTGACGTATTTCTAAGCAGGTCTTCTAGGAATGAGAAAAGCATAAGGAAATTGATTTATACAGCAGTGCTACAAGCAAACAGATAGGAAACAAAATAAATCACTGATGATCTTTGGTCATATTCTGCTTTTTCTCCTGCAATAAAATAGGTCTAAATTAGTGGGTATCAATTACTGACTGACTGGTCACTGTAGATCTATGTTGAAAGAACTGTACTGTTTAAATTAAGACTGAGAAACTAGAATGACACTGTTCAGAGAGGTCAATTTTTAAATTAAAAAAAACTTACCCCAGACCTACAGCAAGCAAGTGAGAGAGAAACAGAGACGGAAGGAAAATCTTTAAAAACTCTGCTGAGAATATGCCCCCTTTCTTCATCACACTGGTGTTTCTCATGCTGAGAGTGGCAGTTCGACGAGGGTGTTTAAAGAGGAATTCCCTAGTTTGGGGGAGGAGAGGAAGAACAAATATTTAATAAATAAATAAAATATTTCTCTCTTAAGAAAATAAAAGCACTAGTTAAAAGCAGTTTGTTGCTAATGCTAAGGACACTCACTTTGGTGGGATGTTCTCAGGCCTGCTGGACCAATCCCATATCCAATCTGAATTTTTCTTCAAGAGTCTTTCTACTTCTCTCCTTCTTTCAAGAAAATCTTCTTCAGACTAAAACAGAAAATCATCCTCAAAACAGTGCATTGGACTGTTCTAGGACTTTGCAACTGACAAAAACCACCCTTCTAGAAACTGAAGCAACTTTCTGAACTGTTTTCTGCTAACAATCTAGCATTGTCTAAGTAATGTCAGCTCACATGATACCTTCACAATTCAGCCCTACCATCTATTCCCCCATGCTAATTCCCCAATGTGCATGCAGTGTTCATGTGTTCCAAAAACCTTACAGTCTATCACTTCCTTTTATATCAAGTATCTGCCTCAGGCTGGATCCTCTTTAGAAAACTTCAGTCTAAGTGATTCTGCTACTTCTGAAAACAAAGCCAAGGAAAAATGCATCATTTTTCCCTGTGTTAAAAAAGTTCTGGTGACTTGAAAGAAAAAACTCTGGCACTGCCCTGCTCTGAAGTAGAGTCTTGAAACTGAACAGAAGTGAGATCTTTTCATCAGGGATGTGCCTTTTGCCAATTGATATCTGACCAAGATAAACGTTTATGAATAAAACTCAGTTCACACATGCTCAGATGGAAACTTAATAGAAAGTTCAGCAGCTAAAGTCTCCTCAGATTCCATCCATGCTGAACATGTTACAAGCAGGGAGGAATGAGTTGGATTTCCCTACTAATGCTGCTAAGTGCTATGGTAGGTCTTGGGAGAGTATCAGTACTGAAAGCAGGGGTCTTGTGTCTCCTGTTCCCCAAATGTCTCCTACTAGGTTGAGACATAGTGGAAGCTGCCTTATGGGATGCAGAGGTGACAATACGTGGCAGGAGAACTACAGTGGATGGAGGCCAGGAAGAGAAACTGAGGGCCACCGGAATGAAAGAACTTCAATGTACAACTGAAAGCCAGGTGGGGGAAAATACAGGGACCAGCAAGAGGGAGGTAGAAACTGAGACTATTTGGGGGGAAAAAAAAGACGGAGCCAAGATGAGGAATCTAAACAGTGGAGCCTTGGATAGAGGAGAAAAGAAGAACCTGAACATGCAGAGAACAAGTCTCTAAGTACGAGACCACAGCACCCTCCAGATCTTGAAATGGAACCCAAGATTTCTGAATGTCATCATTCCTCTTCTGTCAGCAAATATCAGTGAAACTCTAGGCAAAATATTTCAAGCCCCTTAATGCTGGGTCTGTACACAGAATGGCATCCTACTACTGCTACTGGTTACTAGATTAGCTCATGTACCCATGGCTTGCATGGCAAATCCAAAAGTTTCAGCAGGGCTGCTTTCCCACATGGGCGTTGATATGATATAGCATATGGAACTTTCTCTTTCAGCTTGCTTTTTTAGGAAATTATATATCCATTAACTGTTAAAAGAACATAATGTTTGCGAAGTCAGACATGCAAAAGTTAGGAAACGAAGGTTGTGGTTGTGTTTGCTTCCCCATGATATGGCATTGTTACATGATGAGGGCCTAGTTTTTCAAATGTTTCCTGCCTCTTGCTACTGCACAGGATGGATGCATCTAGAGATGCAGAAGGAAAGGACAGGTGTCTTTATGATCTGTGCTTTATTTGTTGCTGAAGATACAAGGTGTGAAAGGAATGTGATGGGAATACAGGAAAAGAAAGGATTAAGATAACGTGGTTAAAATAACAGAATGCTGCCCTAAGGAACTCTATCTGCTGCCACTTCTCAAGGGTTCCTGTGTAATGTAAGTTAAGTCACTTCAGCCAACTTTTCAGAGAGTATTGCATAAAAATTTGTCTCAACTCTGCATCACCGATTTCTGTTGTAGAGAACCGATCTTGAAGACTCTTCATCCACTGCCACTTGACAACAGGACAAAAATAGTGCAGGTCCAAACATATCTGTCTCCACTGAAGCACTCACACTTTTATCTAAGAACTACTTCACAGAGATTTTTTTCCACAAAATAAATAGTAAAAAAACCAAAGCAGCTCTGGAGACCTATGATTCTAGCCTCCTTATAGCAATGTAACAATAAACAGACTTAAATATGAAGAAGTAGAATCAAAACATGACTCTTTATTATATAAATCCTTTTTCATCTTAATCTTCTAGTTCCTAGCACTCTTCACAAATATAACAGTAATATGCAAAAATGGTTCAAAGAATAAGGGGTAAATTATCAAAGCAATATGCAAGAACTTAAATTCTCATTTCCAGTGAATAGGAATCACATAGCTAAATACCACTTTGTTGCTTCTAAAATGTACCTTTGAGGCTAGAATGTCTGCTAGACAGAAGCAAAGACTTTGAGAAATGCAATAGTTTTTTAAAATTTGAAATTCACTCATTGTGAGCTGTTATTTAAAAACAAAACTACCCCTAATTATCTGAATCTGTGAAATACATAGGGCTGACAATCACAAGAACAGGACAAAACCTCTGCACTTGGAAGATTTCTACGTGACATTAGTGACTAGCAGTATGCCTACGTATATTGTCTTCCATGTTTGCATCACAAAATCTTTAATAGGTTTGAGGACTTCAATCCTTTAGGCCTCTTTGAAAATCCCTTCTCATATGTCTACAAAATGCCTATGCAAATCAGTGATGTAGAACTGTCCATACAAGGAGCATGATCTTGCACAGACTCAAAGGGATTACTGCCTAGTATAAAGTTACTCAGCTGTTTTAGTTTTTCCAGGCTGTCTTGTATTTTCCAATGCTAGTCTTCCAACTGTGACAATCACAGAATAAGCAAGCTTTTACCTGAGAGCTACTCTTTTCTCCACTGCTGTGACTCTCCATCTCAGAAGCTTTGTTAATGTCATGAGGTGTCTGGGACCGAGGAGGGCTTTATAAAGAGAAGCACAAATAGAAAATGGTCTCATTAAATTATCTGTGCCGGTAGCATCTATAGGGTGAACTAAAAGTTAACAAGCAATGTCTGCTGCACAGCTGCAGATTCTTCTTATAAACTGTCACAGCATGGGCAGCAAGAGCATACTGTAGGTGTGACCGCTATTCTGCCAGAATGGCACTGCCATTGCTTGACCATTTAGGATGGCAGCCATCACACACTTCTCCAGGCTGTGAAAGCATCACATTCCTTTTTACTAAATAGGAGTTTTCCCCTTAAATAATGCATCAGTGCAAAGTGCAACTGATGACCTTCCCCTGCAAAGTCAGTGAGCCCCAGCCTGAGAAGCCACCCTTGCAAGGTGTAGGAAATCTTCTATGGCCCTTCCCTTTATCATTTCTTCATAGTTTCTGGATGGACTACTATCTCATACAGCACCAGTCAGCAACCTTTTGCAGTGGCAGCCTGGACTAATCTGGTTTAGGTCTGTAGTAAGCACGAGCTAGGACTCAGTCACTGCTGCCATTGCCACTTCTCCCTGACCATGGCATGGGCAGTCTGCCAAGCCTGCAGACGATCCAATGGCTCTGTGCCTGGATCTGGCCCACAGGTAGTAGACTGCCAATTCCTGCCATACAGTGTTCCAGTTTGTACCCATTAAAAAATATCTGTTCATTGTGGACTTTTTATACATCTGTTTACATACAGATGTAAATACAGCTATATGTTTATACAGGTCTGTCTCTAACATATAAATACACTTGGAAGAGTGCCTTATAGTAATCCCTTGTAATAATGTATTTATTTACCTGTCACAGCGTGAGCTCTCTCTTGAACTGCTCCTTCCAGATTCATGCTGGGCATCTAAGAGAATTTTCTCCATGTCACCATTGTAAATAGAAAGAGAGGCTGGTACTTGTTCTTGATTGGTTGGTTGGATAGTGTTACTATTGCCATTCCCATTGCTGCTGAAGTGCAGTTCCACCCAGGATCCTGCTTGGCATAATTAAAAACAAAACTGTAATAAGCTACAGAGATAAATATTGAAGGCTAAGCAGCCAGATTCTCGCATGACAACTACAAGTGTAACAGCTTTGCTCCTGCCTTCTCAGGTGTGACTAGACTTAATCTGCAGGTTACTACAGGTCAATAATAAAACTCTATCCTAACAGGCCTTCCAGCAGGATACAATTTTAACCCTTTGAGTAAAGTATTTTTTTAAATGTATCTCAGTGTATTTTCCAGCAGAAAATACGCTGATATTTATATGGTTTCCTATTTTTGTCACTCATCTGCAAAAATATTAAGCCCAAAACCTACTGAATTCAAAGTCAATCTTCCAATTGATTTAAATGCAGTTTGGATCAGGTCTTGATATTTTTCGCATGTTATGATTTTTAATAGTTAATGCACATTTGTGAGCAAGTGGCTCTATACAAAGGGAACATAAAGTACTAAACTGTTCACTCTCCTCAGGGTAACATTTTCATGTGATGATCAAATGTACAGTGAAGTATGGGCACAGTGCCATTAATGTTCCAGCTAAGAAACTCGAAGAATGTCTAGTGACTTGCTTAAGCGATGTTGTTAGTAGGCTGACACATCATGCATATCTGATTCATGGGAAAAGCTTGCCAATACAGTGTCTTTTTCCATAGTCAGGTGCAGAAGTTTTTGTTTGCATTCTGTGGGATATTCCACTTCATGGCTCAATGCAGAAAAAAGTCAAAAAACATGGTCATGTAACAGTAACTCTTAATTTATTCATGGAATTTTAGGATTGCAACCCTATTAGTGAAGTGCTTGCATTTAACTTTTTCATAAAAATATCAGTTTTCATTAATGTCACTGTAAGGTAATATAGGGTACCTGGCAACTTTCATCATCTATTGCTACATAAAAATATTTAAGATCAGCTAACAATCACATGATATGTTGCTTTGTCTTCTCAAAGTGTTTTCAATAAAAACTACCACCCAACCACTCTGTAGACAGACTTGGGTTTGATTCCACATTTGTAAAATTGCTTTAATGAATTACGGCGATATTGTATCATATACATGTCAATGGAACTCATTTTTATTTATATATGTTGATACAAACAGAAATTTATAATAGTAAAGATAGAGGTAACATGGTTCCCCTCCTCTGAATTAGCTAGCTAATTAAAAGGTATTTACCTATACAACAGGTAAACACAAGGGGGAAGACAGCAACCATGCTGTAAGGGATAAGTGAGGAAAGAACCATTCTTCACTCATTTAAATTAGGGCTAGGAAAAGGAAATAAGGAACAGTTGAGAGAGGTCCAGACAGTGTGTGACACTGTTCAGAAAGAAACGAAACCAGGAGGAATAAGAGAGCAGCTTTTGTAGAATTCAAAACAGGAAGAGCCAACCCAGCAACTTGGGCAAGAATTTGATAGCTGTATTTTGAATAAATTGAAAGTTCAATAGATAACAGCAAGAAGCCAACCCAACCAGTTGTACTGTGGATGACCAAGAGATGGTTTTAGCAACTTTCCTCCAGAAGTTGGAAATCCACAAAATTCTTAGCATGTAAATAATCTGGGATGCCAATATTGCCAATGGTAGGGGGAGGGGAGGGGAGGGGAGGGGAGGGTCACTTTTGGTCTCAGTTACTGACTCTTTCCATCTTTCTGATTGGCTCTCCTACCTTTGACCTTTGTTCTTTCCTCTGCAATTGCTGATAGCCAGGAAATCCTGAAGTTTTCAGGAGTTATCATCAATGTGTAGGTTAAAGTAGCTCTACCCTGACTGTGGCCTTAGCTCATGTACTTTCAGCATGTTTGAGCATATCATTTGGCTCCCATTCTGCCCTACCTTGCTCCAATGCCTCCTCCAGCCCCAGTTCACATTCTGCTCTTCTATTTATATGCAGATATGAACGCTTCAGCTGAACTATTTAACTATTAAAAACAGAAAAAATCTATTCTTATGATTTCTGTGTCTGGACAAGAGAAAGTCATTTGACAGTGAGCTGGCCAATTCCCCATAAGCAACCATCAAACAGTACAAACAATATGTGCATACTCTGGTCATACTAGTGAAAGTGCCATAATTACATGTCAAAACATTATTTTTTTGTTGGGAGTGCTAAGGAGTCATAAACATTTTTGATCAACTGTCAAAATGTCCAAATTGTGCCAAAAATTGAGTTATAGGTTAATTAATCCTTATACTCAATGATGTGATTATTATTAGATCATTTATATATAAAGCTGACAGCATCTGTTGACAGTATTTACTATCGTAAACAAAGTGACAGTCTTTTTGTAGACTAATTATCTTCGATTATTTTTTTAAGCATTCCAAACATCAAGAACACAACCTTAATGCTAAGCTAATACCCAAATAGGTCATCTGGTTTCTCTCAATGGTAATTACTTCACATTTTAGCTCTAACTGCAAATGGCTACTCAATTTCTCAGACTCATAGCAATGTCAGAATACTTATGCAAATTAAAAACAAGCAGTGATAATTACGTGTTCTTGTGATTGATTCTAAACTGTAAAAGTATTTCTGTATACCAGTAATCGCTAGGAAGTACAACAGTAACTGTTAGGGCCACCCAAAACAAGTGGAAATCAAAAGTATTTCTCTGTTTCCTCTTGTTTATATCAGCTAGGAGCTCCATTTTAGCAGCCCCTAGATGAGAGTGCCAAGCACCCCCAGTTACAACCAAGTCCAAGAGCTCCATCTTCTACCCAAGAAGACATGATCAAGCTCTGCTTTAAAAGTGTTAACGTAGGTCTTTCTTTTATCTGGAGAAGCCAAAGCAAGTTCCTCCAGACCAGTGGTTCTCAACCTATTTGCCGTTTGAGGCAATTTCCCGATTCCCGTGTTTCTGCCTGTGCGGAGGGTTTTTATACAGCTCAGGTGCAGATTTCTCTATTTGCACCCACTCCTCTGAGAAAAGGATCTCTCGGCCAGCTCAGTGGGGAGCAGGGAAACTGAGTCATGGTTCGGGACTAGGGTCCCCTTATTAACACCGGCCAGTGCATCTCAACTCCCTTGAAACTGTCCCTCACAAGCCATTTCTCTCACGTGCTGACCATTGCAACTCAGACCGAACTGCTTCTGGGATCAGAGTATCTGGGAGCAGACCCAAAACAGCAAAAAAAAGGGGCGTTCAGGACTCCCCCACAAAGGTGATCTCAAATCCCCTGCGAGGCCTGGACCCAATCTGCGCACGCGTGACAGAGGATGGCTGCTGCCCACCATCAAGTTTAAGAAACTGCCAAACCCCCAGCTCTCAGGCAGGCGGGAGACGATTGCGTCCTGTACAGGCAGCCCTGCATAACTGCCTAGAAGCCACAGAAAATGAGGGTTGGAAGCCAGCCAGCCTCATCTAAGCCAGCATTTCTCAACCTGTGGGTTGCAAAAAATATCCGAAAGGGTCACGAACACATTTCAAACGTGGATCAACACACCTTCAACACGGGCTCTCCTTTCGAGGAGAAAAGCGTGGCTTCTCCCTCGCAGGCTGGCAGAGCCTGCCCCCAGGGATGGAGATGACGCAGCCCGGCCCAGCGCTTTCCTCCCCCCCGGGCAGAGCGCTTCCTCGTGTCCAGCCCAGCCCCACTTGCCGCCGCTGCCCCTCGCTCACGCAGCACATTACGGAGCAGGGCGCCGATGGGCGCCCAGCTGCTCCGGGCCCGTCCCTCCCTGCCTGCCCCGCCGCTTGTGGGGGTGGGCGCTCCCGCGGGCGCGCCCC